GGGAAAAAATACTTGACAATCCACAAAATGCAAAACACACACACTACAATATACTAAACAAGCTAATTGAATTAAATAGGCAAATATGGTGAGAGAGAAAATAAGTAGTGAGATTGAAATTGGACTGTTTGCCTTAATAGTGGATGAAAGCAAGAATGTCAGCAAAAAAGGGCAGGTGTCTGTGGTGATATGTTAATTGCAGAGTGGCTTTGTATTAGAGGAACTTTTTTTTCTCCTCAATTTTTCTCCAGCCATTCGATTAGATGCCAAATCGCTCTTGAAAATGATCAAACAGGCATTACATAAATGCAATACTGACCACATGCATTGTCAGTCACATTGGTGTAGCAGAAAAAATCAGAAAAGATGTCCCACAAGCATTGTACAGTAATAGCCATGCACATTGACCAAACTTTGTTTTGATGGACTGTATTAAATACATACAGCATTTGGATGAATTCTTTGAAGCTGTGCAGATGCTGTATAGTTTTTTTTCAAGCTCAGTTCCTCATGATCTTTTCTGGAAAAAAAAAACAGCTGGCAACCAAGCCATCGCAACCTCTTGAACTAAAAAAAAACTACCTGAAACAACTCTTATTGACATAATCAGTCAGTCAAAACAGTCAGTGTATTAAGAAAGGGGCAGTCCTTTTGTATTCTAAATAAAGTATTTATTGTACAAAACATGATCAAACAAAAACAAGGACAGAAATAATGATGAAGTTTTCTTATTTGCATGAAAACCAAACTACTTCATAATTTCTCTACACAACATAAAGAGTGGTTGAACATGACTAAAATAAAGTAGGTAAATCTTCAAAGTAGAGTCTGTCAACTGTATATAATGTAGAATGTTTTCATTTGGATTTTTTTCACATTTACAAATCACAATTATTTTTTCTCCACATATTGTATGACAAAAACATTAAGAACATTACATTATACAGAAGTTTCGAATTGTACAACTTAACAGGGTGATGGCTTATGATCTCCATATCATACTTTCCATTCTTTGTATCCTTAAAGGACCTTAATATAGAGACCCTGTGGCATTTTAGAAGACTTGTACATCATTCAAGTAATAATGTTCTAAAAAACATTGACAAAACTGAAATGGCAAGAGTAAAAAGTCTGATGCAATTACATGCATTTGTATTTTGACCATAAATATAGAGGATTTTGGCTGTTTTCAGATGTTATACTTTGTCCATTTTAATTTCATAGCAAGGTTTCAAACTGTTTTGATGAGGTAGATTTGACTTATTTTGTGATTTAATTTTCAGTAGAAATAATTACTTGTGGCCCATATAACCTTGTTTCTGCTGTGTACCTAGTTAAAATGTTCATAGTTAATACTAAATTCAAGTCCTGCGTTCACATGGTGCATAGCCACTGTTTTTTTCAAGCCACAAGCAATAGTTGCCAAAACTTGCCTTTCAAATCAGATGTTATCTAGAATGTTAAGGCTTTATAGAGTTCAGTTTTGTGGATTTGATAGTATTACAAAACAGCAGTTTAAAACTTCAGGCATGGATCAGCTTTGAAATTTTAGATATGATTTGTTTTAGATTGGGCCAACAACTGGTCTCTGCTTCAGCAGAAAGATTTCAAAAAGGCATAAAGACAGATATGGTGGATGGACTATCCCTTGTGTAAACTCCATAGACATTACTAAGTTATTAAAATCCATCTACAAAGTTCTTGTGCTTGAAAAGGTCAAATAGAAATGGAAATAAAAATTCCTCTTGCCATTTACTTCCCATAGTGCAAAATTTATTGTTGGTAAGTAGAGTGCCCAAAATAATCTTTTATACCCTTCAGCACCATCACACTGCCATCCTTTTTTGTCTTTTTCTCTTTTGTGATATATACATATATTACTTAGATTTAGTGTAAGAAGGCTCCTCTTTTATCCAACATCATAGTGCTTTTGTTTTCAACAATTGGACATATTTGAAGAATAGAAAAAGATTTCTATTCTACTGTACCACTCCCCCTCTCCATCCTTTGCTTTTTCAGAACTCCCAAAGTTTACTGTACCATTAAAGTTTGGTAAGGGACAGGGAATGGTATTTAATTAAATACAATTAAAGTTAAATGAAATGACTTTTCTCTAAATTTCTATAAATTGCAGACAAGTGTCTTATCTACAAAGGATATAGTACTGTTGTGATCCACAGTGATGTCTGTTCTTTTTATTCATGTAAATACATGTGCCAACATAGTGACCTATATGTAATTGTATTCAGTACAGCTGAAAACTCATCTGTATTCAGTACAACTGCATACAGCCATGAACATTTTTATGTTTTATTTTGGTTTACCTGACACTGATTTACTGATAACAGATTGTTAAGGCAGAGTTTATGTAAGCAGAGAAGACATTTCTGAAAATAGCATTTATGTTAAAACTGAAGTTCATGGAAAACATTTTTTTTTTTTTACACAAATTACTATTTGTGACACTCTTTTCACTTCTTTAAATAATTTATTTTTGTTATTTAGTTTTCTGTTATGATGATTTTGTCTATCACAGATGTAGAAACAAATGAATAGTACTACATCATAAATTCCTGTGTCTAAAATAAATGGTTATGATCATTTTCCCCTTAAAAGTGGTAGAAATAAAAAAAAAATTCTTCCTTTCTTTTCCTTTGTCATTTTCATGAGTGAAAAGAGGATCAAAGTAGTCATGAAAGGGTGCCTAGACTATTTGGAATGCCACACCATAGTGAAAGCTGCTTTAGTGGAGGGGGTGGGGTGCATTTGTCTCCTGTCATGATTTCTTTAATGCATAACATTAGCATTAAAATACAATAAAAAATACATGTAGGAAACCTAGAATAAGACTTAGTATGCTGGCTTAAACACTTTGGACTCAATGTCAAATCTTACAACTGAAAGATGCATATATATATATATATATATATATATATATATATACAAATCATAATTACAAAATATATAATAATATTATACTCAACGTTAGATCAACACTAACAACTCTGTTTTGTCTTGTGTTCTATTATATCTTGCACTACATTTTTATATCATCTTCCATTCTGACACTGTCCCCTTACCAGCCGTAATTCAACAGTTTCCAGCATCAAGTATTTTTTTAAATCTATTTTCTCTGAATGTGTAATTCTGCAAGAAGCAACAAGGCAATGAGGATATATTTGAAGTAAAGCGAGATTTTGGACCTGAATCTCAGAACTACCCAGCACAATGCATCAAAAATAAAAACCAAGAAACCAAGTCTTGTTGTGTGTGTGTGTGTGTGTGTGTATGTATACAGTGGGTAAAGTAAGTATTGAACACATCACCATTTTTCTCAGTAAATATATTTCTAAAGGTGCTGTTGACATGAAATTTTCTCCAGATGTCGTTAACAACCCAAGTAATCCATACATACAAACAAAACAAAACAAATAAGTTCAGAAATTAAGTTACGTGTAATATAATGGAATGACACAGGGAAAAAGTATTGAACACATGAAGAAAGGGAGGTGCAAAAAGGCATGGAAAGCCAAGACACCA